GCCTCCTGGGTTCAGGCAATTCTCCTGCCTCAGCCTCCTGAGTACCTGGGATTACAGGCACGTGCCACCATGCCCAGCTAATTTTTTGTATTTTTAGTAGAGATGGGGTTCACCATGTTGACCAGGATGGTCTCGATCTCTTGAGCTCGTGATCCACCCGCCTCGGCCTCCCAAAGTGCTGGGATTACAGGCTTGAGCCACCGCGCCCGGCATAAATTGCATTTTATCAAAAGTATTATCTTTTGTTATTAAAAACACCATTAAGAAAAAAAGGAGATTGTGAGCTCTGGGACAGTTGGAACGTAACCTACCTGGCTGGCCAAGGCTTAAAATGATACAGCCCACTTGGCAATTTCTTACAACTTGGGAGTTCTACTGCTCCCCATACAATGGAAGGAACTACCGCTAGCTGCAACAAAATGGATAAATCTCACAGAAATAAGGTTGAGCAAAAGAAGTAGGACACAAAAAGTATATATTGTGTCATTTCATTTCTATGGTATTCCAGAATAAAGCAAGAATTACCCTATAATTATAGATGTGTGGTGACCTGCAGTCTGGGCAGCCATGTGAGAATTGACTACATAAGGGCTCCAAGGAACTTTGGGGGATGATGCTTACATCACTGCATACATTTCTCCAAACTCCTCGAATTATACATTTAAAACAGGTGTGTCCATTGTGTGAACATGAACATTGTGTGAACACATAAATAAAATTCATTTTAAAAAAAAGTATTTACTGATTCAGCACTGGAAGCTAAGCCTCCTGATTTCTAACACAGTTTTTTTTTTTTTTTTTTACTTCCCCATTTCCCCAAAAATAATATTGGCTCCTTTTCTCTCCATGCTGCCTACTTCCCATGGGATGGAGGACCTATAATGGCCAAAACAATTTTGCTCACGGAGGCAAGGTCGGCGTGAGCACTGGCTCTGAGGTTTAGGCCTCAATAACCAGGAGAGTGATATGGGAGGAAGATGAACCACTGGGTGTTAGGCACATGGAGCCTCAGTTCAGGGCTTTGGGGTTCCCGATTAGTTTGTTTAGTCTTGTTGAGCCAGGAAGAGATCACACCAGATGAAAGGGTACAGTTGGCTTTGGAGGAGGGTGAAGCAGAGCAGAAAAGAATCAAATAAATCATTAGAGACATAAAAAAAATAGAAAACAATCTTATATATGCCATGGAGGAGAGATTTTTTCCCACAAAGAACAGGTGGTGGTGAGGAAAGTGTAGATTTAATGATCTCAAGGGAACATCAGATCCACATCTCTGAAGTCAGCATGGGTGGGAGTTGGGTGCTCTTGATTACTTCCTCAGTGACTTGGGGCAGTTTACTTCATGTCACTCAGACTCAGTCTTCTAAGATGGGGACAAATCATGTTTTTTTAGTTGATTCTGAGACTCATTCTGACCATTCAATGAGAAAATGTATATAATGTACCTAACACAGACCTGAATAAACATGTTTCTTATGTTTATTAACAAATCATCCTTTTTATCATGTCATCTTAGCTAATATTATGTATTTGCTAAGTGACAGGTATTGTGCTATAGGATTTGTGTGGATTGTCACATTTCATACTCACAACAGCCCGGTGAGAAAAAGCCTCCCTTTTCACTTGGGGAAACAGGCTTTGAGAGCAAGATGGCTTCCCAAAGGGACAGCATGTGCTGGGGTATGTAGGAGCCCTGGTAGCGTGGCTCAGTCTATGCTCTCTGCCCCTTAGAGAACATTTCCCAGAGGTAGAGGAAAAGCCTCCCCTTGGGCCTTAGAAAGTGGGACACAAGGAAAACAGCAGCAGATGGTAGACATTCTTCCAGAAAATTTGGAGGTAGAGGCAAGAAAGAAGTGAGATGCCAGGTCAGGGTAGGATTTTCAGGATAACCTTGAGCAGTGAGCTTTTTTTGGAATTTTATTGCCTCAGGCAATGAACATGGCTTCTAAAAGCCATTTAACAGCATGTATTTATTTAGTAATTTCTCTATGCTCTTGAAATTCCCCTGATTTGTACATAGGGGTGGGACATAGTCTCTGAGGAAATTGAGTCCAGTCTCATTAGCTTTGATTTACAGTAGACTGTTGGCCCAGGTAGTCCTGGCTCCAAAATAGTAGACATTGCACCTTGGAATTCTCACACTCCTGACAATGCTATTTGCACCTGTCCCTCTTTTTTTGTTACTGCAGTGATATGTCCTGAGGAGATGGCTGCAGATATCCAGCCCCTAATCCATCCTGCCTCATCTTACCCACAGCATTGACAACCATAGGCCGAAACAGGGAGGAAATTCACAAGAACTAGGGCCAGGGACCTCCCAACCCCTCTCTCATACGATTTAACAGACTGCAGAAAATGACCCCTGAATGGGCAGTTTCCATTTCCCATCACAAGCTGGAAGGGAGAAAGAGCCTCATTCTATATAACTCATAGGTGGTGAATTCCCATCAGGTCCGAGGGTTACTAGTGGTCATAAAGGTACATCTTACATGGACAGAGGAGGCTGGAGTGGCAGTGCTGCCCTTGCTAGTTGCACAGAAAGAAGAAATCCCATGAATGAAAAGGATTTCAGACGAAAGCATGGTTTAATGACATGGTATATAAGGCTGGGTGGATTGTGAGGAGAGTAAGTATAATTTATAAAAGGTGAAACTTTTATCCCCTTAAAGGGCCAGGTTGAGCCTATCTTAAATCTAAGTCTTCTGAAATAGCTATGATTATGTTGGTAATATGTTAAGAGATATGCCTTTTTTTTTTTTTTTTAATGCTGTCCTAATCCCACCAGGCCAGTACTAAGTAGTTAACAAGATTTTTTTCCTGAATATATTTGGTGAGCTTCATAGGTATCTGCCTTTAGTTTCCATTTTCTTTATTGGGATTTTCTTTTGATTTTAGAAAAAAAAATGTGTTTCATTGAAAACATTGAGGTGAGCTTAAAATTATTCACAACAGTTAAGACCGCTTAGTATGCTACTGTGAACACAAAATTATCTGAGACAGGCTTCTGTCAATTTAGAAAGTTTATTTTACCAAGGTTAAGGACACACCCATGACACAGCCTCAGGAAGTCCTGAGACATGTGCCCAAGGTGGCTGGGGTACGGTTTGCTTTTATACATTTTAGGGAGACATGAGACATCAGTCAATATGTGTAAGATGTACCTTTGTTTAGAAGGCAGAACAACTCAAAGTGGGGACTTCCACATTAGAAGTAGATAAGAGACAAAAGCTTGCATTCTTTTGAGTCCTTGATCAATCTTCCATTGAATACACAATTTAGTCTGGCTCAGTGAATCTGCATTTTTACATAAGCAGTAGGGGAGAGGAAGCAATCAGATATGTATTTGTCTCTCAGGTGAGCCTCAGAGGGTTGACTGAATAGAATAAGAAGCAGGTTTGCCCTAAGCAGCTCCCAGCTTGATGTTTCCCTTCAGCTTAGTGATTCTGGGGTGCCAATGAGGCAGGACATTTTCCGTGACCCCTTTGCGGGCAAGAATTGGAGTGCACAGGCACTAGAACTAGCCAGCTGCTTCAGTGCCAGCAGGGGCAAACTCCACTCACTTGGTCCCACTGCATTCTACCCCTCACAGGAGCAGGAGTATAGGTGAGTGAGTGCAGGGGCTGGGGCGAGGGCTTCTGGGTGCCGGCAGGCGCAAAACTCAGTGTGGCCCTGTGGCAGTGTCTAGGGGAGTGCCCATGACCCCTGAAGCCCCAGAAAGAGTGTTATAGTCAGCGCTCTTTTAGATTTGCCATTGGCGAACCTCTTAAGTGTTAATAGCTCAGTAGAGGGTCAGTGTGACAGCCTTTTGCACCTGCACCTGAGTTCTTGTCCAGTGTCCAGGATGAATGAGGTCATACAAACAAATTGAAGGGTGGTGAATATGGAGGATTTTATTGCCAATGATAGTGACTTTCAGCAGGAAGGGGAGCTGAAAAGGGGATGGAGCAGAAAGATGATCTTCCCCTATCCCTGGCCGGACTCCTCTCTGAAGCAACACCGTCAAGCTGTCCCTCTGAAGTCCAGCTGCTTCTGTCCAATGTCCAGCCAGAGTCTCCAGTGTCCCACTGCTTATCCTCTTCTCTCTCTCTACTGGCAGAGCCTAGGGTTTTTATGGGCTCAGTAAGGAGGGCAGGGTAGGCCATGGGTGGTTTTGGAAAAGGCAGCATTCGAGTGGGAAAACAAGAATCCATGTTCTCACTTTGAGCTGTAGTTCCAGGCTTGAGGGTGGGACTGTTGCTGGGGACCAGCCCTCCTCTGCCCAGAATTTCCCTGCCTCCTGTCCCTGTCACCAAGATTTGTTTTCCTTCCACACTTGTTTGCTGAGTTTTTAAAATTACCTTTTCTACAGAGTTGTTTGTATAATTTGAAGGTTTTCTTAAATTCTTACTCATTTAATGGTTGATGACTCCTGAGGTAGCCAAACTACTACTAACATTTAAAAAATGTTTCAAGTATGTTCTCAGATTTATAAATTAAGTTTTTCAAGAATATAAACTTATGAAATGTTTTTTAATTGTTAACTTGTATGTGATAAAACTTATGAGTTTATTTTTTATATCATTATGCTGAGTCTTTTTTTTTTCTTTTAATGTAATCCAGAAATAGACAACAAGAAATATTACAAGTACAGCAAAGAGAAGACATTAAAGTGGCTGGAAAAAAAGGTATAGTTCCTCTCTACTGCCTTGTGGTAAAAGAAAAAATTCAGTTCTCTATGAAATTTTCACAGAAGGCAGTAAGTCTGAATCCAGAAACCATCCTCTATATTCAGTAAAAAGAGGAAAACTGTATAGAGATACCTTCTTCTCTTTGACTTTTTAATCCTCCCTAACTTGTGTATCTTGGGAGTTAACTTTATGTTTTCTTGTGACCTGCATCCTCCTTTCTCCCTGATCCTACTACAGAATGAAATAATTTGTTGCTATTTGTTGGTGTAGATTTGAGTCTTCCAACTAAGACGATACCAGGCCTGGCCCTTGTTGGCTGCTGTCCTGCAGGTGTCTCCAAGAGTGATGTTGCTCACACACAACCAGGCAAAGGGACCCAGGGACACAGCCAGGCAAAGGTGTTCAGGTTTAGAGGAAGTGCGTCCCACTCTCAGGGTCTGGAGGCTGAGGAGGGGCCATCTTATAGGCAAACCCTGTACTTTAGTGATTCTAAGAATCTTGATCTAACGGAAGGACTGGGGCAGTGAGCTTCAAATCAATTTAGTAGGTCACAACTAGTATTTCTTTTGGAATGGAACAGATTGGGATGGGATGGGATGGGATGGGATGGATGGGATGTATTAAAATATAGCAGAGGAAGGGCAAGTATTAAGTATGGCTCTATGAAACATTTATATATGTGTTTAAGTATTGGATTTCTGTATATTTCTTACTATAGGTTGGGATTAAAAAAAAAAAACTTTGAAAGCCACTGGTCTAAGGATAATATGAACTTTGACATTGATTAAGAACCTCACTAAACCAGATAGAATAATGATAAAGTTTTTACAGTATCAGTGGATACCAGTAGTTAAAGTACTGTTTCCTAAGATTCGCTTCCATCTTTTATGTGAAAAATTGTGTGTGTCCACATATTCTCACTCATAAGTGGGAGTTAATGAGAACACATGGACACAGGGAGGGGAACATCACACACTGGGGCCTGTCAAGAGCTGGGGGCAAGCGGAGGGAGAGCACTAGGACAAATATCTAATGCATGCAGGGCTTAAAACCTAGATGAGCAGTTGAGGGGTGCAGCAAACCACCATGGCACATGTATACGCATGTAACACACCTGCACGTTGTGTACATGTATCCCAGAACTTGAAGTATAATAAATTTAAAAATAATAATAAAATAAATAAATAAATCGTGTTTGTTTGTCATATCATGTTACCAGGCGCATTGGAAGCCTGAGGAGCTGGAAATGAGCCCAGTAGAATAATCAGGCTCCTAATTTGCAAAGTAGTGGCAGGATTTAAGAGTGCCATGTTTGATTTCATTTGCAGTATAATAGTAGTATTCCTATGGAGCAGAATCCTTGATGTGTACTTTTGCCCTTAGCAAAGGAAAATGGCATGAATAGCAAAGAGGAGTTTATACTTATTGATTATATTTCCTAGGAAGTGGGAAATTTATATTATTCTATTTAGAAAATGGTTACATATAAAGTTTGTGTTAGGTTCTATTCTAAGGGCCTTACATATGTTAACTAATTTAATCCTCACAGTAGTCCTATGAGGTCGGTGCTATTTTTGTTACCATTTCACAGACAGAGCCACAGAAAGGTTAAGTAACTAGCCATGTTGCAGAGCCAAGCCCAGCAGCCTGACTCCAGAATCAGAGCTCTCAGATTTCTAAAGTTCAGTTGAAAATACCCTGTTTTCCCCCTCTTGGTTGCTTCGTAGGTTAATCAAACTGTGGCAGCATTAAAAGTCAACAGAGTAAATGTCAGTACCCAGGTACAGTCAACTGCATTTTTCTCTGGTGACCAAGCTTCCACTGACAAGAAAGGTAAGTAAAACATTTCATCAGAGTAAGTTGCTTACGTGTAAATGCCTATCTTAGGATTTAAAAATCTTAATATCACTGAAGGCTCATATTCCTGCCAATGCCTCATATACATTGTGGCAGGTGTGCATCTTATTTCAGAAGCAAAGAATATTTCTACCATAGGTTACTTCTGTCATTCATTGATACTTATTTATTCAGCAAATACTTCTTTTATACTGATAGTAACCCTGGCTATCATTTATTGAGGGTGTATTGTGTGCCAGTCCCTTTGCTAAGTGGCCCCTATGCAAAATGATCTCATACGACCCTCCTACTAAATTTCATTATGAGCATCTGTCCAAAGACTCACAACTAATAAATAGCAAAGCTGAGCTACTTAAAGAACTTCTCTCTCAAGCCCACACTCATAACCTTTTTGTGATACTGTTCCTGCGACACAGTTGTACTGTTCCAGTGGGCTGCATCTGTTTGGATTTTATTCTCAAGATGCATGTTTCGTGATACAGGGATGAATATATTTTGATTTTAGGTGAAAATTGATTTACCTTGCAATTTTTCTTTTAGGTTATTCTTTTATAAGCTTTTAAAGATATTTTTCTTTTCCGAGTCCTCTTTTTTTTTTTGGAAAAAAGAAAGAGAGAAAGAAAGGAAAAATAGATTGAAAGGGAGAAAGAGGGAGAGAGAACAGGAGTCTTGCTTTGTTGCCCAGGCTAGAATGCAGTCTAAAAATGGATATTAAAAACCTCTTTTATGCCAATAATTGTGTTTAACAATGGATACAGGAAGGAATAAGGGAGGAAAATAACAAACAAGCAGCCAACCAATATTTCATTTAAACCTGTGAAATGCTATGCAATTACTGAGGAGTGATTTACTTCCAATTGTGTAGTCACTTTTAGAGTAGGTGTGATGTGGTATTGAGAAGAATGTATGTTTTGTGGATTTGGGGTGGAGAGTTCTGTAAATGTTTATTAAGTTTACGTGTTCCAGGTCTGAGTTCAAGTCCTGGATATCCTTGTTAATTTTCTGTCTCGTTGATCTGTCTAATATTGACAATGTGATGTTAAAGTCTCCCACTATTATTGTGTGGGAGTCTAAGTCTCTTTATAAGTCATTAAGAATTTGCCTTATGTATCTGGGTGCTCATGTATTGGGTGTGTATATATTTAGGATCGTTAGCTCTTCTTGTTGGATTGATCCTTTTACCATTATGTAATGTCCTTCTTTGCCTCTTTTGATCTTTGTTGCTTTAAAGTCTATTTTATCAGAGGCGAGAATTCCAACTTCTGCTTTTTATTTTTATTTATTTTTCTCTCCATTTGGTTGGTAAATCTTCCTCCATCCCTTTGTTTTGAGTCTTTGTGTATCCTTGCATTTGAGATGGGTCTGGATGCAACATACCGATGGATTTTGGCTTTTTATCCAATTTGCCTGTCTGTGTCTTTTGATTGGTGCATTTAGTCAATTTTAATTTAGGATTAATATTAATATATGTGAGTTTAATACTGCCATTTAATGCTAGCTGGCTGTTTTGCCCATTAGTTGATGTAGATTCTTCATTATGTTGATGCTCTTTACCTTTTGGTATATTTTTGGAATGGCTGATACTGGTTGTTCCTTTCTATGTGTAGTGCTTCTTTCAGAAGCTCTTGTAAAGCAGGCCTGGTGGTGATGAAATCTCTGAGTACTTGCTTGTTCACAAAAGATTTTATTTTTCCTTCACTTATGAAGCTTAGTTTGGCTGGATATGAAATTCTGGGTTGAAAGTTCTTCTCTTTAAGGATGTTAAATATTGGCCCCCACTCTCTCCTGGCTTGTAAGGTTTCTGCTGAGAGATCTGCTGTGAGTCTGATAGGCTTCCCTTTATGGGTAACCTGACCTTTCTCTCTGGCTGCCCTTAGCATTTTCTCCTTCATTTCAACTCTGGTGAATCTGACAATTATGTGCCTTGGGGTTGCTCTTCTTGAGGAATATCTTTGTGGTGTTCTCTGTATTGCCTGGAGTTGAATGTTCTGCCTTGCTAGGTTGGGAAAGTTTTCCTGAATAATATCCTGAATAATATTTTCCAGCTTGGATTCCTTCTCTTCGTCACATTCAGATACACCTATCAAATGTAGATTAGGTCTTTTCACATAGTCCCATATTTCTTGGAGACTTTGCTTATTCCTTTTTACCCTTTTTTCTCTAATCTTGTCTTCTCATTTTATTTCATTGAGTTGGTCTTGACCTCTGATATCCTTTCTTCTGCTTGGTCAATTCGACTGTTAAAACTTGTGCATACTTTGCGAAGCTCTTGTATTGTGTTTTTCAGCTCCATTAATTCACTTATATTCCTCTCTAGATTGTCTATTCTCGTTAGCATTTCGTCAAACCTTTTTTCAAGGTTCTTAGTTTCTTTGCATTGGGTTAGAACATGTTCTTTTAGCTCCCAGAAGTTTCTTATTATCCACCTTCTGAAGCCTGGTTCTGACAATTCATCACACTCATTCTCCATCAGGCCTTGTTCCCTTGCTGATGAGGAGCTGCGATCCCCTGAAGGAGGAGAGGCATTCTGATTTTGGGTGTTTTCAGCCTTTTTGTGCTGGTTTCTTCCCATCTTTATGGATTTATCCACCTGTCGTCTTTGTAATTGCTGTCTTTCAGATTGGGTCTCTGAGTGGATGTCCAGCTTGTTGGTGATAATGTTATTTCTGTTTCTTTGTTTTCCTTCGGTGGACGCCCCTCCCCCAGAGAGCTGGACCTTCCCGGGTTCAGCTGTGCTTGCTGTGAAACTCTCAATGGTCAGCGTTTCCAATGGCTGTTTTTTTTTGTGGGGGTGGGACCAGCCAAGCCTGACCCCTTTTTTTTCTTTTCGTAATGGAATGGTTGATTCTCTCCCAGGTGCCCCAGTCACCCACCAAAAAGGCGCCCGGATCTATGCAATTTCCCGTGCGGCGACCGTGCAGGCTGAAACAGCAGCGCTGAGATTTGTGGCGCTTTTCTGCCTGGGAATCTCCCGGTCTGGCTCCCTGCTTCAGTCCCCTTTTCAATCAGCTGAATGGGCGACTCTGCCTTCCCGGAGCTCCAAACACCAACTAAAAGGGCACCCAGTCCTGCATAACCACCGCGCTGGGACACCGCAAAACAGCCCCGCTGGCCAAAAGAGTCACCCTGGCGACCCATGGAGCTCCTCCGCTGGGAATCTCCTGGTCCATGGGCAACAAAAATTCATCTGGAAATCTGGCATCCACTCACTCCCTGCACCTTCACTGGGAGCTGCAATCCTGAGCTGCTGCTAGTCAGCCATCTTGGACCTCTCTCGAGTCCGCTTATTTTTATATGTATAGTTGAATAAGAACAGCTATATAATGCAGTTAACATTTTCAAATGGTGAGACAGAAATTATTCTGACCTTAAACTCCAATTCATTGTTCCCTTGTTCAGGGTATGCAGCTCTGAAACATATGGCTTTAGTCATTAAATAAATAAAAACTAAAAATAGTGGCCTGTTTGTGTTGATAGTAATAATTCAGTCAATCTGATTTGCAGGAATCTACCTTGCATATATAGGTAGTTGGCGACTGCCATTCTGGGAGCGGTGGACAACACCTTTGCCATACTAAGTTACCAGCTGTCAGTGTCTTTAATTGGCTTTAACCATAGAAGATGAGGGATTGAGATAGATGATGAATGGATAGATATGTGGGTAGATAGATGCATGCAGACTCTGAGCTTGGCTGTATTGCCATCTAGTGTCCCAGCCATAAAGTAGGCTTTACATATTTTACATTATTGGTTTGGTACCAGAAGAAGCAAATGAATTACATGTTGACTTTCTTAAAATAGTTTTCTTTGTCTAGTCATAATTCATTGAATGATGACTATCCCAGAACCATGAGCAATTTTAAGAAGAGTCAAATGATAACTTTCAGTTCTACTTTGACAATGAAAATCTCTTACTGAAGACTTTTTGACATCAGGTGGTCACCAGACGGCAGTCATTTTCTATGTAATACTGAGGCAAATTGTTACCTTGACTTGAAGACAGAGGAGAATGGAAAAAAAGGAAGTGAGTGAATATCCCAGCAGCAAACCTGCGGTCTGCTTTTGGTGGTTTATATCCCCACGTGGTTATCCCATCTTATGATTAAGTTTGATGATCTGCTTGTATGCTATGTAAAATGCTGAATTCAGGAACAGAGTTCTGAACAGATTTTGTTGTCTTCTTAGGTCACTGTATTTCTAATTGCTGCCAGAGGTGCATTTTAGTACTAAGAACACAGATGCTGTAGAATTAGTTAAGTTTTTTTTTTTTTTCCCAAGTGTTTTACTAGTTTAGGAGTGTGTGTGTGTGCATATGTATATATATATAGAGAGAGAGAGAAAGAGAGAGAACTACGTATATATAGTTCAGGGTTTTTATAAAGCAAATACCTATTAGTGGAGACATATGATATTATTTCTCTTAAATGAGTGCACTCATTACTGTTGAATAATTAGATTTATTCTTTGTTAAAGCAGGCCTAAAAATGATTACTCTTTTAAAAAAGACATGACTATTTCATATTGTTACAGCTGAGTTTTAAACTTTATTTGTATTCATTGGTTTCAGCTAAGAAAGCACCCTGAATTTTTTGTTTTTACTGTGATTTAATGAGCATCTACTGTATTATACTTGTATTATCTTATATCTTTGGTATCATCCCATGTCATATCCAGCATTTCTTCCCACTAGTCTGACAAATAGATATTACTATCCCCATTTTACAAATGAGAAAACTCAGGCTAGAGTTTAAGCATTCCCTTTATCCAGAAAGGGTCAGAATTTGAACTCAGGTCAATTTGACTGTGAAACCACCATCATTACTTTTTTTTTTTTTTTTTTTTTAACTTTCACTCCTTCTTCTATTTCTTACAGAGGATTACATTCGTTATGCCCATGGTCTGATATCTGATTACATCCCTAAAGAATTAAGTGATGACTTATCTAAATACTTAAAGTAAGTATTCATTATCTTCAGTCATAATGAAGTACCATTTTGCATCTTGGTTTCCCCAGCAGTGGGGTTTCCTTATGGCTTATCATATCACTGTTTCTGATGCAAGATTATTCTTGAGCTATGTCAAATACTTTGTGATTTGGAGGTGAATTTTAATGGATAATTGGAAGAACTGATTTGGTGGATACAGGTTGCTGCAACTAGTGAATGTCAGAGTTGGAATTATAGCTTAGTCTGATTTTAGAGGAAACACTATGTTAAAATTTTATCCTCAATTAACTAATTTGGTTATTTGTGATCATTTTTAGAGGAAGAAAGGAGGGATGGAAAGATTAGATGGAATATAATTTTTTTTAATTTACAAAATGTTTTTTATCTTTTTCACTATTATCACTAGATGTTCACTTAAGTGACTTCATTATGCCCAAAACTTGGAAGTCAAAGTAATATGCAACACAATCTGTGTCTTTGAGGGGCAGAATAAGGATTTTAAGAATGATTTAATGTATGTTCTTTTCTTTATACAGAGCTTATACATTTAGACTTTAAGTTGAAAAGAAAGTGTTTATTTTCTAGATTTTTGCAAAATTGTTACTTAATTTTGTTATTAAGATTTTATGTGTGTGATGATTTAATAGCTTTTCCTGATCCTTATAAATCCTTTTTATCCTCTGAGTCATGAAGATAAAATGACTTTTTAATAGATATAGTTGCTGGTTTTAGCAAATTCCAGAGGTCCTACTTTAAAAAACAATGATTGGAAACTGGTTTCTATATAGTTAAAGTGTGTTGAAAGCTTGCTTCAAATTGATAATCATATCCTTCTGCTTAATATTTCCCTGGATTTCTATGCTGCTGGTCTTGTTAGAGACCTCATGTCTTTGTACTCTGTTATTTGTATAGATTCCTTTCTTTCCACTAACATTTTAAAGTTTGGGTTAAAGAGCTTAGAAGAAAGGTATGCCAATTAAACTGCGTTCTAAAAGTTGAAATTTATGTGACTTTTTGTGAACAATTAAAGTAATTTTCATCTTTAAATATACGCTAGCATCTTCATTTATGTAGAAAAAATACTCCAACACCCAAACACAAATTTGTAGAGGCTAAAGAAAAGCAACTCTGTTTCAACAGATGGGTTCTAATTTTATTTTTTTGTTCAGACAACTACTCCAAAGCAAGGGATTACATAGCAAAATAAAGACTCATTTATTGAGAAAACTTTCATTCTTTACATTGAAGTGATTGAATGGGAAGATATATGGGGGCAAAGCTGTAAGTTGCAAAGTAGGACTTACCAAGTCTTAAGTTAGCCCTGTCTTTCTGTTTGTTTGTCTGTGAAAAACCATGACCTTAATTCTTATTTTTAACTTCCTTAGGCTTCCAGAACCTTCAGCCTCATTGCCAAATCCTCCATCAAAGGTAAGAAGCTGTGACTAAGATATCTTTGGGGGACTTAGAAAAATATTAAACTTTTACCACATGAGTTTAGTTTGTTCTAGTATATTTTAAAGCGTACTAAATCCATCTTGCATGGAGTGATGCCATGTGGAATAAAGATTGTACTGGGCTCTCTATCACTACTTTTTATTTTCATAGATTCCATCTCAATGGTAAATAAAGTACCAGGAAAACCCAAGAAGAGTTGGTTTTAGCAAGGTACCCCTGTAAAAATATTAAAGGCGTATAGTTTTAAATTAAATATTTAAAATTAATATTTAATATTTTAAATATTTTATTAAATATTAAATATTTTATTTTATTAAATATTTATTTTAATATTTTAATATTTAATATTTTAAATTAAATAAAATTAAATATTCCTGAATTAAATTAGTTAGATCACAATTAAATTTAGTAATCACTAAGCATACTCTACATATAACTAAAACTCATTTTGCCAAATCTAATTGTCACTGGCACAAAGATGAACAGAGAATGATTTCCATAATACAAAGAATCCTTTGAGCAAGGATGATTACTTTTTTTCTGAATTTGAAATGATTGAAGAATTTATGTGTAAGCCTTCTCTGTTAGTGGAAATCTTTTCCTCATTCATTCTCAGGCTGCTACCCACAGCTCCTCTGTAGCTGGTGTGTTTATCTCCTAGATCCAGAGAATAGAGAAGCCAATCATAAACTACACCTGACTGCCAACCGCAGCATTCCTTCAGCCCAGACCAGATCTCAGATGAGTAAACACTGCTCCAAGACAGAGAAATAAACATGCACACCAGCTTGTCAGTGAGGTCATTTCTTAGCCAGCAAAGTAACGGATGCCTTGAGAATGTAAAATGGACATATTGCGGATGTTAAAAACTTTCCTTTTCCTTTGCATTCATTCCTTGGCCCTCAAGGTGGCCAACATGCTCAGAATTTTTATATCACTCCCTGTGGTGGTGCCAAAAACACTGATTACTTTAATTTTCAGAAAAGGACAGAAAATTGGAAGTACAGCAGTGTTAGTTTGGAGCCATGTTCAGCAGGTTGTCAAAGAAAGTGCATTTTTTACTCTCTTGGAGAATAGCACTGAACAGAAAAGTCAGTTGCTGTGAGATCTCAGAAGGACTGTTCTAGACCAGACCCATGCTTCTTTCATTCCAGTAGTTAATCTCTGACAGTAGCTCTAGAGGACCTAGAGAGGCATAGTTGTCTTTCTGAAACCAAGAGGGTAGGTTCTCTGAGAGTGTTTCTTATTTTCCTTCATCCAAAAATTAATCAGATTTCCCCCCCCCAAATATCTGTCTTCCTTAGTAACTTAGAGATCATTCATGAGTTGATCTAAACCTATTCTTGAAAGCTTTAGCCATGGGTACATTTTGGAGTAATGTGTTTCATAAGTTTATTCTTCTCTGCTCCTGATTTCTGTTTTCTTATCTTAATTTTCAGAATTTAAGTTGTTTGTGACTTCATCACTTATGATTTAGATCAGGGATCAGCAAACCTTTTCTTCTAAAGCCAGATAATAAATATTTTAGGTTCCATGAAGCAGATGGACTCTGTTGCAGCTACTCAACTCTGCTGTTGTATTGTGAAAACAGCCACAGATAATACATAAACGAACGAGCATGGCTGTGTTCCAGTAAAACTTCATTTATAAAAGCAGGCAGCCAGCTGGATTTGGCCCCTGGGCCATCATTTGCCAAGCCCTGATTTTGATTTTGGCATCTTGCTCTTTCTAAACTCCAGCCTTGTCTCCTATAGTATTTGAGTTGCTTTTCGAGGTCTTCTACTTTGCATCTTTCTGGGGTTCTCGTGTACACATTACAAATTATACTGGATGATGTACCATCATTTAAACAAATGTAGCACGTATCTTCTGCTAGCTTTCCTGTCTGTATCCAGGATTTGATTGATTTTTACAGTAATATAGTTGATTGTTTCCAGGGAATATATTCCAGTAGCCATTAAGTATCTTTGTATCTATGTTGTAATCGATAGTGTGGAGCCTGTCATCCTTAATATGTTTTGTATTATTTTCCTTTACTATCATATGTCTGCCTTTGTTGAAGCTCAGCTTCCAGCCCTTACCCGCTCCAGTCTTTTCAATTTGTCACTGTCAGCCAGCAGAGTTGAATGCAAACAGTGGGTTTGGAGATGTTCCCGAGTTCCTTCTTGCAAATCATTTGTAAGACCTTTACTTAATATTTTCTGCGGTGCTCTCCAGTTTGTTCTCTTTCCAGAACTGTGTTCGTTTAGTCATAACCTTTGTTACTGTCTTTCTGAGCCACTCTTCTGCTGAAACAATTTCCCAAATCCATGGCGATTTGGTCTTTCAAATAACAAATTTTAGCAAATGCCACAATCGTCTTTTTTCCCCAATATATTCAACAGTACACTGGGAATAACATAAAAACTAGTTATATGCAGAGGCTACCACAATCATTTTATTTTTTTAAACACTTGTAACTGGTATCTTGTTTGGTTGTGAGCTATTAAAACACCTGAACAAGTCATTTCTCCTATTAAACATTTTATGTCCATACAAAAGTACCTTTCATCTTAAGTTCTTGTCATGAATACTTTTTGTTTGAATTATCAGTGAGAAGTGAACCTCACCAGTTGGTGGCACATACTTGTAGTCTTAGCTACTGAGGAGGCTGAGGCAGAAGGTCTCTTAAGCCCAGGAGTTCACAGCTGTAGTATATGATGGTTGCAACTATGAATAGCCACTGCACTCCAGCCTGGGCAACACAGTGAAACCCTGTCTCTAAAGAAAAAAAGGGAATAATGTGTAAGTATTTATAATGACACCTTCATTGCTTTAATGTTGCAGAAAATAAAGTTATCAGATGAACCTATATTAGGAACATTTTGCCACAGAGAAGAAACACAGCATCCTCATAACTTCAAGCTTTTTGTGTTTTGAAAATGCTTTGGCCTTCAGTTTTATTAGCTGTGAGTTCCATTCTCTTAGCTGAAGATACCTTTCTAGTAAAAAATATATATCACCTAAACACCCTTTGCTGTCTTAATTTCAATAGAAACATGTATTTTTTTCTTTTCTTTTTTGGAGATAGAGTCTCGCTGTGTCATCTAGGCTGGAGTACAGTAGCTCAATCTCAGCTCACAGCAGCCTCTGCTTCTCAGATTCAAGCAATTCTCATGCCTTAGTCTCCTAAGTAGCTGGGACTATAGGTACGTGCCACCATGCGCAGCTAATTTTTGTATTTTTATTAGAGATGTGGTTTAGCCATTGTTGGCCAGGCAGGTCTCGAACTCCTGATCTCGAGTGATCTCCCCTCCTTGGCCTTCCAAAGTGCTGGGATTACAGTTGTGAGTCACTGCACCAAGCCGAAACATATGTTCTTAACAAAGTTGCAAGTATACATTCACTTGGTGCTGATAGCTGGTTTATTTGTGATGGACTAGTCTTTTCCTTTTGATGATTCATTTGCTAGAGGTTGCTGTGTGGCTAAGAGAAGGTTTTCCTACAGCATATGGTATATTCCCAGGATGAGCCTCTGTTTTTTACAGTAAACAATTTCAAGATATGGTATCCTCTTGGGTTATAGGATAAAACACCATGGGCTTTGGAATCTTTTAGCACCAGCTCTACCAGTGCTTTGTTTAGCAAAAGCAGGGGCGTGAAGAATGAAGTTAGGAGCAAATCTATTTCCTAGGATAGATCCATGTTGGGCCTGGTCAACCTGGTGTCTCCACAAACAGCCTGAATATTATAAAAACCTGGATTGTGATCACCATGCAGTCAGTTCTCATGTTCAACAGCAAGACTTGCTTGCCCTGCTATTGTACCTTTCACATAATAAGTATGGCGTAATTTCTTCTATATTGTGATCATTAAGGCCAAAGTCTGGTCCTTGACAAGATTCTCACATTCACTGGTGTAAAATGTTCATGTGAAAGGAGAAAATGTTAAATAAAGATCTGAGGTAGTTGCATTGTGCCTAATGGAAAGAACACTATCAAAATAGAAATCTTGGCCCAAGTCCTCTACATTGTGACCTTAAGCTATTCATTTAGCCTCTCTGTGCTTCCCTCTCTTGCTGGCTGCTTGCTTGTGCAAGTTTGTTCTTGCATGGATAAAGTAAGATAATTGAACTGAAAGGAGGGAAGGACATGAAGCTGTACAAAGATGGTGATAATAGCATAACGTTGTCCCTTCATTCATTAAGTGGACAATAAACTGACCCAGGAGGTAAATGAAATAGGGGTTCTGGCTGGACACCTAGCCCCCTTCGAGACTATTCTCATTTTGACTTCTGTGTCTTGCATTCACCTTGTGATTAGCAATTCCCTCATGCCTACCATACCTGGCATCTACAAAGCCTGTGTTTGCTAGACCAGCTAAGGGGCCATGTACTTACCCAATCATATCCACCGTCACCAAGGCTGCTTCTTAGAAGTGATGTGTGGGTGTGGCTTGATTCCCTTCAAGATTGGCAAAATGTAAAGGAGCCTGTAAAAAGTAAGCCCTTTGCTGGGTCTGCTGTTCCATTCGCCTCTGTGGAGGTCTAAATTATACGTGTTCGGTTTCTTTTAATGGATCGATGTTAGTGTCAAGGTAACATTTGACACCACTTCACTGCTCTAATGTTGCAGAAAATAAAGTTATCAGATGAGCCTGTAGAAGCAAAAGAAGATTACACTAAGTTTAATACTAAAGATTTGAAGACTGAAAAGGTATGTGGGTTCAGGTGTAGCGACGAATCGTTCGTACCCAGCAGATTATATGCATGAATACATGTGGAACAGTTGCACACTCATTGTGATGACAGTTTTGACCAGGAAGAACTGTTAACTTGCATTTCTGTGACTTAATAATTAATCCAGAATTGTGTATGATAGTGAAAGTGTTAAGCAACTAAGACTTTTTATGGGTCAAAGAAAAACAATATACTGCTTATCGAGAGTGTGCCTAAATTTTTCTATGTATTCGTAGAGGGTTAGGGTGGGAAAGGAGGTAGGAACCTCTACAGGTAATTTTTTGTCAACCCTGCTGCCCAGAAGCAGAAATTATGATGATTATAAAAATTATTAATAATTTCACCATTCAGCATTCATGATGGCAAATGGCATTTTGGTAGCATTTCTTACTGAGTTTTATACTTGCATTATAAATACATATGTGGTCTTTGACTTTGGCATTATAATACTCAGTTCTGTCCTTTTTATTTAGCATTAAATTGTGAAAATGTTCACATATCATTAAATATTCTTTGAAAAATTATTCATGGTTTTATGATATTCAGTCATGGGTGTCAGTTTCACCAGATGGAACATAATTTAATCATTTCCCTATATTTGGACATATAGGTTACTTCTGATTTTTCTATTTTTTGTTTTTATTAAAGTAATAGACATTCTTATTTATAGTCTTCATCTCCCATCATTTCATTAGACACAATTTTGAACTAAGAGTAAGAGCTTTGAGAACATGAACTCTTTAATAATTGAAATTATAAAGTGCTTTTCAAAAATGTAGAAATTTGTGCTCCCAAACATGATCTCCAGTGAGTTATCTTGCATTTTTTGATGGCATTGAGTATTATTTTTATTCTTGAACATTTTTGCCTGTCAATTAGGCTAGAAAGGTTGTTTTTCCAAATGCCTATGGCCCATTTGCGTTTTTGCAAATTGTTGGTTCATGTCCCGTGACTGTTTTGATGTTCAAATAGTAATGTTTCATGGCTCCAGTGGCGCAATCGGTTAGCACACGGTACTTATAAGACAGTGCACCTGTGAGATAGTAATGTTTCTCTATTGCTTTGTATGAGTTCATTCTAAATTAAGGCTGTTAACACTTTTCATGAAATACAGGTTTTAACCTTTTCATTTGATTTTTTAACAGTGTTAAATTTTTCTGAGGATTAAGTACAGAAATTGTTTTTCTTTATGATTTTTCCATTGTTTTTATGCTTAGAAAGGCCTTGTCCATCTCAAGATAAGTTAACTTTCACTTTGATTTTGACAATACTGATTCCCCTCAGAGTTTAATGTTTTTTAGAACTGTTATTCTTGAATCAATATGTAATTTATTTGAGCATATGATATTAAGGATAGTTCGATTTAAGGTCTACCCAAATAGCTAGTTATCTCGATGCTGTGTCAGCAGGGATACTGTGAGTTTCTCTGAGAGAAATCTTTGTGTCCTGCCCTTCTATGGGAGTAACACTTATGTATCCACTTGGGCACAACAGAGGTTTGGACCAGGATGTCTTAAATGCGTGAGATAAGTCTGAAACAGACTGTCACTTTGCACCATTCAGTCAAAAAGAAGCCTACTAAATTATAAGTGACAGAATGTGAAAAGCAAAATTGTGGGAATCATATAATGTGCCTCTAAAAAATACTTTGGCAATGACTTTGTCTTACAGTTCCCAGGGAGACAGGTGATTTTTTGTTTTTTGATTCCCATCATTTATGCTTCTTCAGAACAAGTTGTGATACAACTGCATCAAAGTTAAATCAGCTACTGTTTACCTTCTCGAATTGCTCTTTATAGGACATAGAAGAAAAAAAATTCAGTGACCAGAGAGAGAGAAATGTAAAGGGCAGAGTTATTTGGAGTCAGCTTTTTGGAAAGTATTTCTTTGTTGGAGGAAAAATTAGGCAGTTATCCTGCTGGTCTGGGATGCTTTGCAACACAGGTCATCTTTTGAATATTATGGGGTTGTCCTTGGTTTCCCATGGAGCAAATGAATAAAATCAGATGGTAAATTGGTGTGAATTATTCATCATGTGGTAATACAAGGCTGTAATTCGTACCTCTGACAATTGCAGCCTGTGTCAGTTCCATTGTTTGTGCTGCTGCACTTAATGCACCCTCCAGAATTATCCACCCCCTCCCCAATGTAAACCATTGGTTGGAACATTCTGCTGCTTAGAAGGCGGCAGTTTTGTCTTCTGCCTCTTTTAACATATTCTGTCTCTTAGGTCTGAATTCTGAATAGAAATCAGAACTTTTCACCTTCTTATGAAGCATGTTAGTGGGGGATGCTTACCTTCTTTAATGAACCTTGAGACATGCAGTCTTCTTTGATTTCCATGTGTGATTAATAAATGTTACATTCATAACAATTTTTCTCTCTTATTTTCATTAACAGAAAAATAGCAAAATGACTGCAGCTCAGAAGGCTTTGGCTAAAGTTGACAAGAGTGGAATGAAAAGTATTGATACCTTTTTTGGTGTAAAGAATAAAAAAAAAATTGGAAAGGCTTGAAACTTTGAAAATAAAATCTAGCCAAAATATTGGCATGTTACATATTTCAATTTTTTCCTTCCTGACCCTTAATCACTACCTTTGATGGGGGGAAGGAAGAGGCCAATTTTTTATTCTCTTAAACATTTCTTTGCATTTGGTTTTTGTGTTCCTGAATGAGATATGGGAAAGTAATTGTGTAACTTCATGGCTATGGCCTTTTGGAGTCTCATCTGATGTAATGAAAAGTAATCATGTGAAGAGAATTAACATCTAGCATCGTGATTTCCTCAATAAACTGACCTGTGACAACCTTAGAGTGTCTGTTTTTTAATGCAACTTTGCACCCAGTAGATGTAATAATAATATTTTCAATATACTGAGAGAAACTGGATTACGAAACTGTCAGGTAAATTATTACTTTTAAAAAGGTTTAGTTTTTGGTAATTTTTTTTCAGTGGTGTTTTTCTGTCTTTATGAGTACATGTTGTTTGTAGAGAATAGAGAAAATAATAAAATAAGAATTTCAGTTTCCCATTTCTTCATTACCCGGAGTTAATATATTTTGTTATAATAATAATTTTTACAAAGGAATTATAGTAACTTTATAACCGTTTTTTTCAACTTTTATTTTAGACTCAGGGTACATATGCAGGTTTGTTACAGAGAGATACTGTGTGATGCTGAGATTTGGGATGTGATTGAACCTGTCACTGAGGTAGAGAGCATAGTACCCAATAGGTAGTTTTTCAAGCCTTGCTCCCCCTCCCGCTCTCCCTCCTCTAGAAGTCCCCAGTGTCTATTGTTGCCATCTTTATGTCCATTTGCACCCAATGTTAAGCTCTTACTTATAAATGAGAACATGTGGTATTTGGTTTTCTAGGTTTTTTTCATTAATTCCCTCAGGATAATGGCCTCCAGCTGCATCCATGTTGCTGCAAAGGGCATGATTTCATTCTCTTTTATGGCTGTGTAGTATTCCATGGTGTATATGTACCATGTTTTCTTCATCCATTCCACCGTTGATGGGCTCCTAGGTTGATAACCGTATCTTTGCTATCGTAAGGAGTGCTTTGATAAACATACGGGTGCATGTAGCTTTTTGGTAGAATAATTTTCCTTTGTGTGCATAGCCAATAGTGGCCAATAGTGAGTTGATTGGTAGTTCTGTTTTTAGTTCTTTGAGAAATCTCCAAACTGCTTTTCACAGTGCTGAACTAATTTACATTCTCACCAACAGTGTGTTTAAGTGTTGCCTTTTCTCTGCAGCCCTGCCAACATCATGTTATTTTTTTACTTTTAAATAATAACTGCTCTGACTGGTGGAAGATGGTCTACCTCATTGTGGTTTTCATTTGCATTGCTCTGATGATTAGTGATGATGGGCATTTTTAAATAATGTTTGTGGTCACTTGTATGCCTTGTTTTGAGAAGTGTCTGTTTATGTCTTTTGCCTACTTTTTAATGGTGTTATTTGTATTTTACTTACTGATTTGGGTAAGTTCCATATAGATTCTTGATGTTAGTCCTTTGTCAGATGCATAGTTTCTCTCATTCTGTAGGTTGTCTGTTTACTCTGTTGATAGTTTCTTTTGCTATGCAGAAACTCCTTAGTATAATTAGGCCCCCACTTGTCAATTTTTATTTTTGTTGCAATTGCTTTTGAGCACTTAATCAAATTATTTGCCAAGGCTGATGTTGAGAACGGTATTTCCTAGGTTTTCTTCTAGGATTTTTATAGCTTGAGGTCTTACAGTTAAGTCTTTAATTTGTCTCGAGTTAATTTTTTGTATATGGTGATAGGTAGGAGTCCAGTTTTATTCCTCTGCATATGGCTGGTCAGTTCTCCCCGCACCAGTTATTGAACAGGGAGTCTTTTCCCCATTGCTTATTTTTATTGACTTTGTTGAAGATCAGATAGCTATAGGTGTGTGGCTTTATTTCTGGGTTCTCTTTCTCTTCCTTTGGCCTATGTGTCTGTTTTTGTATCAGTACTATATTGTCTTGATTGCTGTAGCCTTGTGTTACAGTTTACAGTTGGATAATGTGATGATTCTGGCTTTGTTCTTTTTGCTTAGGATTGCTTTGGTTATCCAAGCTCTTTTTTGGTTCCATATTAATTTTAGAATAGTTATTTTCTAATTGCATGAAAAATCACCTTAGTTACCTTTTTATAAACATTATTTTGTGACCATTTTCCCAGACTACTAACTGTCCTTCAAAAATATGCTTTTTTAAATGACGGTATAATTTTTGATTATTTGGATATTTGATTAGTTAATAACCGTGATCCTGTTTGGACATTTGGATTACCCACAAATGTTCACTGTTCGAAGAATCAGATTATAAGTAAATATTTGTCCACATCTTTTATTATTTC